GAGGGGGATGAGGAGGAGGAGGAAGATGAGAGTGGAGGAGGAGGAGGAGGAAGAGGAAAATGAGAGGGGAGGAGGAGCGGAGAGGAAAGGGACGGAGGAATATCATGGTGATGATGATGAGGAGGAGAAAAATAAATCGAACAACGAGTGCAACATCAACAAAGACTTCGACGACAGTAGTAATATTGACTGACGCAATAACATATAAACATACATTCAATGATCTTGTCATATTCTCCTTTTAATACAGCCCATAGCGATTCTGTCTTCAGGCACATGTCCACTTGCAAACTTAAATAACAGAAAGAAAAATATTACCTCCAATTATAGAATTAGTGAAATGGCAAAAACAACACTACCTACAGTAGCAAAATCATATTAACAACATAAACATTTCAACTGCAGATGATTACATAAAATTTGATGTCTTACTACAGTAGACTCCGCTTGTGGTGAACTCGCTTGAGTTGGTCTTCGGTTAAATTTATCTTTTTCTCGAGTCTAAGCATCTCTTTATCTTTACAGATCCAACGGTTAAGTTGAAAAGTCGTATGAGCTGATCTTTTTTCTCACTCCTCCGACATCAACCCATCTGTGGTCAACTATATATAATACATTTTACACTCTCCCAAATACTTTCTGCTATTTTCCTCCCCATCTTTTTGGGTGATCTTTCCGAGGAAAAAAAACAATACAAAAAATTAATAAAACAAAATAACTACACTACTAGGTGTATTTTCTTCCTCTTCATGTGCCAAGTCTGGAGCAGACATTGACGATCATGATACTCCATTCTTTCCTGTTCACTGTCTTCTTGATCAGCTCGGTTTTTCACTTTGCATTTTCTTAACAAAGTTGTTCAGGCCATATTTGTGAGGTTCTATGTCTTCCTCCCCTCTTCTTTCCCTCTATCTTTCCGAATTCCCCACTGCAGCGATTTCTCTCGTCCTTTTGATCCAACGCTGTGCGAAGTAGGGCAGTAACGTGTACCAAAACTTTTTTTAAAAGGATAAACGTCCACAGCTCAACTCAGACAAGGACATTGAGCTCTACACAGGCAATGGCATCTTCACCAACCCAAGCTTCAACATTGTCCCTAGTTTCGTCAGTGACGCCCAGAAGAAATATTTCGCCAAGGCCGAAGCTTTTGACATGAATGCTGCTGGTGGTCCTGAGAAGCCGATTAACGATTTCATTGAGAGAAATACCCACGACATGATTAAAGATGTGGTCAAATCCAGTAAGTATTTTTGGAAAGTAATTGCCTAATATCCATAAGCATTGTCAGAAGCCTGGCGCTGAAAGGGAGAAAATCAATAAAAGTTGCCAAACGATTCCACATAATATAATTCTTATTAATTCATAAAAATAATATAGTGTTTGGATATGTTTGCTCAAGAATTAAATTAAACCAGTTTCATTATAATACACTATTAATGGTCAGTTCATTTGTAGACATCATTTGTTCCGGTTTTCTTTGTTTTATTTTGTCTTGGTATTTGTTTTTATTTCTGGTTATCTGCTGTATGCATATTGAGAAAGAAAAAAGGTGATTTAAAAAGGTGATAAAGGCAATAACGTAAAGCTGGAAGATCTTTGGTGAAATCAAAACGAACATTGATTTGAGCAAGTAAGTGAGTTAGCGAGTTATTGAGTGAGTGAGTTAGTAAGTGAGTGAGTGAGAGTGAACTTGTTTGATCTGTTCACCTTTGCTAATGAGATAACTCTGGTTTACTGCTTTGTCTAAACATGCATGTTTTTCTCACTGTTCTCTAGACTCCATCACCTCCGACACAGTGATGTTGTTGGTCAACACAGTTTTCTTCAACGGAACCTGGGCCGATAGGTTCTCTGAGTACAGGACGCTGAAGAAACCGTTCCACCAGTTGGGGGGAGCCAGATCGCAGGTACTTTTGCACATCTGGGTAAAACGAACAGAATCATCAGCGTTAATTTTTTTAATGGGTCTTTGTTGTCTTTTGACGAATTTTCCTTACAATGTTTGTCGTCTTGAACGGCTAAGAGATGTCAAAAATTGAGTTGGAGAATGATTTCACAAGTACTAGCTCGACTCAAAAACCCAGAAAACTCTTCAGTCAACACCACAAACATCACCTGCACCACCAACACAACAACAACAATATAAACAACAACAGCACCAGCAACAACAACAACAACAACAACAACGACGACCTATTATGAATGTAAGTGTTTAGACTTATCCTCTGTCCATCACCATTAGGTTGACATGATGAGAGATGACCGTTACGTAAACTTCAAGAGCGACAACTCCCTCAAAGCTGACATGGTGAGGATTCCCTTCAAAGGAGGCCGTTTCTCCTTGTACGTCGTGCTGCCACAGAGTGTGGGTGGGATCACTGCACTTGGTGAGTCACGTTTACCTGTAGATGCACAGCCAGTTTTGTCATGAAATGTTTGGTTTTGCATCGTAGTGATATGAAACGTTCGTCAAAATAATAAAATCGAAGAGATCAACAAGTTGGGCAATTCTTACATATTATTATTATTTGCTTTAGCTCATTGTCCTTTCACGCCTAATTACAAATAATAATATGTTTCTTTGTTAGATTATGCTAAAAATAATTCTGATCAAAAGCAAAAACAATAAAGTAAATTTGTAGTTTCCAATAACACTCAAACTTTGTTAGTCACCAAATTTTGACGGCCATTTTCTCGCGAATTTTTTGTCTGGTCCCATACGAGCCCGCCACCTCCTTTAATTGCAAATATCCCAACTTCTACTCAAAATAGATGAGTTTTTGTTTCAATAAATGCAAGACGAATAAACACGCTTTAAGGTGATATCAATAACTTCATTTGCCCCCAAACTTACATGCGCCTTTTCCACTGCGTTGTGTCATATTTGTTTAATACTAAAGCATGACGTTGGGTGTGCACCGTGCTTGAGCAACAGTTGATGTTCCTTCTCTGCAGGCGGAGATGAATTTGACTTTACATCGCTTGTGTGTGTAAGTGTGTTTTTGTGTGTGCATGTGTGTGTGTGCGCGTACGTGTTTGTTTGAGTGTGTGTTTTGTGTGTGTGTATGTGTGTGCATGTGTGTGTGTGTGTGTGTGTGTGTGTGTGTGTGTGTGTGTGTGTGTGTGTGTGTGGAGATCGGCCATTATTAGAACAAAAACTGAAACGAACTGAGCTTTTCCAGAGACATCCTTGACCTCTGGAGATGCTATCAACAAACTCTTCGACGGCTTCCAGCCAAAATATGTGAGCTTGGAGATTCCAAAATTCAAGATCGAATCGACATTCCAGTTGAAGGATCAACTGAAAGCACTTGGCATGGTGAAGGCTTTTGACGCAAAAGCCGCTAACTTCAGTGGAATAACTACAGGTAAGAATATCTGGGATACTCGGAGGTATCATTTCTGACTCAGAGGTTGACGTGTAATGACCCTCCATCCTTCACAGTCGCGACCTGCCGTTGCACATTCCGCTACGCCCATGCCAGTCCATGTTTTAATGTTGTCAATCCGTGTTGCTTGTTGCCTTCCTCTGGCCCATCCTGCCCCACACCCTTTCTTCAAGCACCTCTTTCACAATGGTCTGGAGTCATTTTAAGTTACCAAAGTATTGTATCTTTCTACATATTTTTATTTCACTAAACAGGATTTGTCTTGTGTGGAGAATCTGACACACTTCGTTGTTCGCCTTTTTCGCTTTCCAGCTTATTCTGACCATTCTGCAGAAGCATCACATTACAAACGTAGCTATGTTTTCTTCTTTTTTGGGGTCAAAGTCCAGGCCTTCGCGCCATATAGGAATATGGAGGAGGATAAAGCCTTCCTCTTATGTGTTTCCTAATCTAGGGTAGAGATAATTGCCTGGATGTAAATCATTTGTACATCTGACTGACTCTTGTTTTTTGTTTTTGTTGCTCTCATGTTTTTTTTTACTTTTTCACGTCTGCCACCGTCTGTGAGTGTTGCCCCAAGAGAAGGCTTTTCTTACTCGGATAGTACGAGGATTCAGCTTGTGGCGAATTATTGCCTTTTTTTTTTCAAAATTGTTCTTTCTCTCAATCCTTCCTCTATCCTCCCACAATTCATTTTACGGAAACTGTTCGGAATGGGGAGGGGGGGGGGCAATTTAACCAGATTGTTTTTCATGAGCTCGTCAATGTTTTGGGCATGTTATGGAATAATTGGTAGTATTTTAAAGCTTGTTCGTTTGCATTGCTTTGGGTGAAAAAATACATATCCTTCTTGGACAGAATTTGCAAGTAAAGGAGGTATGGGGGTTGCCTGATGTCAGAGGTAAAATTAACAAGAAAATGGCCACCAAGGCTTGATGACTTCCATGTTTGTCTACTTTGCGTTCACTTTAATCCAGAACACGTCACTAGGCTAACTGACACGAGCACACGAATAACTGCTCACAACACGAATCTTGGACAACAACTGAACTTTATTACTCACCCCACACTAGTCGCTACTGCGCATGTCTTAAAGAGACGGGAGGTAGCTCCCTTAAAACAGGGATGGACGGTAACCTTGTTATGTCCCATACATAACATTCCATAGCTTGGATGTACATGGAAACTGTAAATAATCTACATTTTGTGTGCCTATGATCAACGTTTTGCCCTTGTGAAACCCACACAGAAATGTGTTTTTAAATGCACAGAAAAAGTGTTGAAAAACATCGATGAAGGTTGCCTAACTGGTGGAAACACGCCTGTTTCTTTGATTTCTTTATTTTAATGAGCGCCTGATTCCACCGTGTCGAGGCACAAATTGCTTTGATTTCTATTGTGCCTTTCACTTCTTAGTAAACAAAAATGCTTCTTGTCTTCTATGCACAGGTACTCCTGGTCTGTATCGTTTTCTTTGTTAATCAACACTGTTGACCAAAAAATGTAAAGAAAGAGAGAGAGAGAGAAAGAAAAAGAAAGGAGAGAGAGAGAGAGAAAGAGAGAGAGAGAGAGAGAGAGAGAGAGAGAGAGAGAGAGAGAGAAATATCCGTGAAAACACAGCATTCGACTTATTTCCAAGACAGTCCTTTTCTCACTTACTCACAGACAGATGTGCGTTTCTCTCTCTCT